TTCATTTTTTGTGGCAGCACAACCCAATAATATCTTTTTAAGGGTACTTTCCAACTGATAAAAGGAACTGAGAAAGCAAATCATGGTGCATCATTTAGATGTAAATGAATATTAAAAAAGCAGCCCTTTAAATCAATAATAATTAAGTTCCAGTCCTTGGGAATCATCGTTGATGAGGGTAACAAGGCTGTAGATGTCCCATTTTCTCAATACTAGTATTAACTCTCCTCAGGTCTTGGAGGAGGTGCCATTTCTCACTATGCAGTTTTTTAATCACAAATATGGGGGTATTTCAGAGGCTGGTAGCTGGAGCAAGGGGACCTTTGTCCAACTGTTGTTTAGCCATTTATTCAAGCGTGACCACTTTCTCAGATTACAAGGGCCATTGACTAACCCAGATGGGCCACTTTGATGTCCAAGTTAATTTTAGGGTGTTGTATTATCAGCAGCCTGTTCTAAAATCTTGTTTCTAGCCTTACTCCCCACTGTGAGTCCCTTCCCCACAGGACTATATAATCTTGAACCACAAATGGCTTGGTAGTGGCAACATGTCCATCAGGACCCTTAAAACTGATAGAATGTAGGCTACAAAAGCTTGCACAGTGGCCCCTAATACCTGACAAAGTGTCTAATGATGGAGTTGTGGTCCACTCTGGCTGCCAATGGTGTTTGGAGATTAGTGTTATGTTGGCTCCAGTGTCAACAAGTCCCTTGAGGATGATGTTTTTTTCTAACCCTCATCAACACAGCTGATCTCTGGGCATTCATGACTGATCCTCCCAGTCCAAGCAATGAAGGAGGTATTACACTCTGGTTCAGGTAAAAGAAAAGCTTGTGCAATTATTATTCCATGAGGAATGAAACATGGGGGGGTCAGAACACCTGGCAATGACTGTAATTTCTTGGCTTGCAGTGACTGTTAGAACAGAAAGTGTAACATAAAATCCTTCTGAGTTGGTCCTACTGATTCCTGTGATTAAGAACTTATGTGGCCATTGTTTTGGGCCTAACTGTTCTGTGGAAATAATATTATGCAAAAAATCAGTTATAAGTACTGGCTGCACAGTCAGCAGCTTCAGTCTGGTGCCTGGGAACATTGCAGTGGGGAAGTCAGCGATGATGCACTGTAGCTGTTGATCTGTGGGCAGAGCCAGCACCTCTGGTGTGCTTGACAGGGATGTTTGTGTCACCAAGCACCGCTGTCCCATGTTCTGCTGGCCCTGCCGACAATGGCATCCCTGTACTTGGCAAGGTTTTAGTGCCTTGACCATGCTCTTTACACCCACAATGGTTTTGTGATGACTTTGCTTTTGGTTTGCGAAATGTCATTCCTTGCCACAATTGTGGCAAGGCCTTAGTTTTTGTCATTGCTGGCTTTTAATGGTCTCCTTAAAGGCTGTGAGAGCATCTGCTAAAACTTGCATTTGGAGCATAGCAGTTTATTCTTGCTGTTTCCTGCTGTCCCCCTGAGCAGATGTTTGTGTGTTAGCGAGGACTTGTGCCTGGAGTACAGTAGAGTGCTCTGGAGTTGCCATGCGTTTGGATGCCTCGATCATTTGAGCAATGGTGGGCTCAGGATCAGAGGGCAATGTACAGAGTGCCTTTTTACATTCAAAGTTAGCATTTGAGACTGCCAGCCGTTTTCTTATCTTATTGCTGCTTCCAGTAAATTGTTCTTATCTCAGCCTTTTGCACCTCCAGTTCTTCTCTCCAACACACCCAAAGGAAGGGCAAAGGGAAAGCAAGAAAACAAAAAGCAGACAGGAACAGCAAAGCAGAGGGGAAAAAAAAAAAGCAAACAGGAGA